GAACTTTCACTTTTCATCGGTTTGCAAAAAGGAAAGTTTTTGATGGTTTTTGGTCTTCTGCCAAATGATAACTCGTTTTTGTCGACAAATTTTTGTTATTTTGAATAGCGGCTGAACTTTTATCACTACAGTTTTCCTATTAACTTCCCACAGTGTTACATCATCTAGTGGGTCAACCAGCTGACAGCATTCTTGAAGCGCCTTTGACTTCCTGTAGGGCTGACCAGCTCAGTGCTTCTTGAAACCGAATTCCTCGGCGAGGAGTTAAAGATTTTTGATGCTGTTTGTTTTTTGACTATCACAGTATCGTTTCGAAGGTTGCTAACGCGGGAAAGGGGCGAGAGGGAGGGGTGAAGGAATTTTTGGTTATACCAGATACAGCAAAAAGAAATTTTTTTTTTCGCTTTGAACGTCGAAAAATTTATTTCATTGAGTGATGGATCATAAGAGAAACTATTGATTAAATTATAGATAAATTTATCAAATTGTAGAATAAGCTAATTTAATTGTTGGCAAAAATTTTGCTAATTCATAGATCCATGGAAGAAATTTTTTGCAGGTAACCACAGATGCACATTGGGCAGATATTGTATATCAGCGTATTCGTCGTGGATTGGGAATGCACGAGAATCTGTCGCCTGTGGAAAAAAGGCAAACTGTTAACTATTTGGTGAAAATGATGAATTGCTGTTCGGACTCGGACCTGGCCGCAACGGGATATGCACATTTGGCTGCAAATTTGCTATGGGATTTGTATGTCGAAAAGAGTGGGAATTTTTTACTTATTTTTTATTTCTGCACTATCAACACTGAGACACAACGATGTAGCATTAACCAAAGCAGATGGAATAATTGGCCAGCGTACCCGATTGACGGTGCGGTGATGCGTTTTTTGCACAGTTTCCCACGGATTTTTATCGCCACCTGCACTGTTTTTTTTTCTTGACAGATGCTTCTGGCTAAAAAAATTGAGACTGCCTACCACGACTGTCAGAAAACATCTGCTTAAAATTTCAGCTTTCTAGCTTTTCTGGTTCCCGAGTTAGCAACTTACCCGCCAAAAATCTTCATGGGCCCACACATGGGACCACGTAAGTAGGAGCGTTCATTTTAGAAGTAGGGGCCCGTACGTGTGTATAGATCAAGTTATCAAAGTATCTGCTTAGGTTTTAAAATGAAAACTCGGTGTAGGCGTACACGCAGGCACACAGACACCCAAAGTATGTGTTGTATAGAAAACGCATAAAAACTGTCAGCCACCTAATTAGGAACCAGGCTATTCTAGATTACTGGTATATCTGAATTTAGCGTGTTTTTTATCAGATTTTTGAATTCTTCGGCTAAATTACCCACCTCTGATGGTTGATTTTTACGCTGTTTGCCTCAGTTTTTCATACATTTTCTCTCACTCTCGCGGACACATTTGGTAGCACGGACTGCAAATGAGGTAGCAATCATTCGTTATCTCAATAAAAGTAGATCAGCTAGTGCCGTGTTGTTTACTGGATTAGCTGATGTTATGTTGCGAAGGCTGTAAATGAGAAATCTTCGTAAACTAAAAGAACCTAACAGCACTGGATTAATACAGATCCAGTTGGAAAGACCTGGTGGAGATGTTTAAATCTCGAATACGTCTGAATGCGGACGGTTTAGGAATTTTCTGGAATTTATACCTTGGCACTCTTATCTTGTCGAGCAACATATACTGCTCTCATGTTTGTATATTTTTGGCTCCCTTATCATGGAATTTCCACGAAATTATCGATGTTTTTTACCCGTCCCGCGTTTTTTATGACGATGCAAGGGTCACGCTCCTAGAATTGTGATACCGCTATGTATCGTGTTAGTGAATCAGTGTGTGTGTGCGTGTGTGTGTGCGTGTGTGTATGTGTGTGTGTGTGTGCTGCATAAGTTGGAGAGAAGAGGTGTTCGACACAATCGCATTTGTTCTTTTTTTAACCCCCATTTTCTGCACACCCGTTTCCATTGCATGGTTTTATGTTTGCAGATGAGATTGGCGCACTGTATGAACTAATCTTGTTGATGCAGTGGGTCCAGAAAAGTCATCCAACGGATCCGATAAGTGCTGTTCTTTTATGTAAAGCTTACTCATCAATTGGCGTTACAGCAGAAGTGAAACGATTTATGCACGCTTTGGATATTAAATATATCCAAAGGGATACATTAGGTTGGTTTATCTCTTTCGTGTGTGTGGGGATTTCAGAAAGTTGAAACTGATAGGAAAATGTGGAGCCAAAGATATTACGAAGTTTGCTTTTATGGCTTTTTGGCACCCTGCCTTGGTAATACAACCAAATTGGAAACATAGTGCTTCACTGGAAATGTGCTGCAGCCTGTAAAACTACCTTGCGTTATGCCAGGATTCGTAGCGTCATGCTGGTTCTTTCTTAGCATATTTGGCGGTATTTCATGGAAGGAGTAGTAA